ACCACCGGGAACCCCCCGCTACCAGCTCAGCCAAACCTGAAAAGAGCACTGAATCTATCATAATTTTGGGGAGAGGGAGAATGTGTGCGCACACATGTATGTATTCAAGGTGTGGTTAAATACGAGGCAGAGGGAGATCAGGATACAAACCGCTCAGCACTCGCAGAGGGTGCAGAGCTGACGACACTCTGACAGATTGCACAATTAGGGACTCCTGATCAGCCTCTGGGCAGCAATTTCCTCCTACCCCGAGGGCTGGCTTTTCTCTTTTCCCTTAAGCAAACACTACCTCCTCCCCACCCCTCCATTCCTACTTGACGTGGACAGGCCATGTTGGGTCACCAAGCCAGGCCCTGTTTGCCGTGGTGGGGTCTGTTCCCGTTCGCTTCACCCTTTGGTCCCAAGTCAGACTCTCTGGACGTGGGAGCATTGCCCATGTTATGGCCGGGCACAGCCCATAAAAGCAGACTAAACACACACTGAGCTTTGACCGTACAGTACAGCCCCTTTCAGCTAGGCCCTTCCCTGTGCCCAAAGCTAGGCAACAATCCCCAGTTATTCCAGCTGCCTGCCCATGTAGTTGCATGTTCCAGCACCACTAGGCCTGTTTTGGGCTGGCATTGCCTGGTGCTGGCTCATGCACAGAAGCACTTGTGAGGGAAGCATCTGATCATCCTGCCCTGCCCAGTGTTGATAGAGCAAGATGCACTGACAAGCAGGACAACTTTCCTTGCATCTGGCCAGCTCTCAGCAGGGAACCAGACGGCCCAGTGCGGTTGGACCTGTACAGCTGCAGGACTGTGTATGCCGTGCCTGCCCCCAAGAACAAGTGGTTGGACAGCTGGTGTTGTGCCCAGCATAAGAGCTCTGCTGGCACCTGCTCTGCCCCTTTTTGGCTTCTCTGCCCAAGCTAACCTCATCAGCTCTCTGGAGCAGGGACTATCTTTATATTGCTTCCTAACTCAGGACCCAGGAGATGCTATTGCAAACACTGATGCCACTGTATTGGTACTTCAGCAAGGCAAGAAGTCCAGGCCAAACCCCAGAAATCCTCCCAATCTGCCGGGTTCAAGCCAAATCTGGCAGCACTTCCTTCATGCTTTTTTTTTGTTTCCCCACACAAGCCAGTGACGTCCTTCCAGCAAGCTCTGTGCCAAGGCACACACATGCCCTGAGGCTGCCCTTTGGGCTCAGTCTTTCTTTTGGCCCACGTACCATTGGCATAGCTCTCCTGTTGTTGAGAAGAGGTCCAAAAGAGTCCAAAAGGACAGCTCTCTGCCAGCAAGCGCCGCTTGGATGAAGTCAGTGCCTTGATGTAACCACGTTTCGGCAAAAATAAGTGCTTTGCTTCATTCAGCTGTGATGAACAGCTTTGTGTAAAGCACCTGTCACGCTTTTCTCTTGGCAATGTATTCACCAAATGAATCTTGCCTCAGAAGCCATTGATATCATTGTTTCAATGAAGCCATCGGATGAGGTTGGTTTATTATTTATGCAAGGAAGTTTTCCCTAC